TGTGTGTGTGTGTGTGTGTGAGAGAGAGAGAGAGAGAGAGAGAGAGCATATGTGTGTGCATGTGAGGGGTGGGGCTAGGGGCAGGCAGGAGTGAAGGTCGAGAAAGATTTGGTGTTCTTACCTGATAGGGTGACTCCGTCTCAGCAATGCGTTGCTTCCGGGATCCTGTAGAGGGTAGAGAGTGACATAAAGTGTAAAGATGGACTAAACTGGCTGGGTATTGGTGGCACATGCCTTTAATCCCAGCACTCGGGAGGCAGGGGCAGGCGGATCTCTGTGAGTTCGAGACCAGCCTGGTCTACAAGAGCTAGTTCCAGGACAGACTCCAAAGCCACAGAGAAACCCTGTCTCGAAAAACAAAAAGAAAACTAAACAAAAGATGGAGTAAGTTGTGAATTGAGACTATTTTGTTTTTATTGTTTTGTTTTGTTTTTTGTTAGGTTGGTTGTTTGAGACAGGGTTTCTTGGTGTAGGCCTGGCTGTCTTGGAACTCATTATGAAGACCAGGCTAACCTTGAACTCACAGAGATGTGCCTGTGTCTGTCTCCCGAGTGCTGGGATTAAAGACATGTGCCACTGGTACCCCTGTTTTGGTGTTTTAAAACCAGTCCTTCTGAGCAACTGGAGAGATGGTTCAGCAGAACCATCTTGCAGAAGACCCAATTTTAATTGCCAGCACCCACACTGGGTGGCTGGATTACTTGCAACTCTGGTGTCACCTTCCAACCTCAGAAGACTCTGCATTCAAATGTGTATACACAATACACAGTTAAAATATAAAATATATAGGCCTGGAGAGATGGCTCAGAGGTTAAGAGCACTGGCTGCTCTTCCAGAGGTCCTGAGTTCAATTCCCAGCAACCACATGGGGGCTCACAACTATCTGTAATGAGATCTGGTGCCCTCTTCTGGGGTGCAGACTGAACACTGTATACATAATAAATAAATAAATCTTTTAAAAATATATAAAAACGAAATAAGAGAGAAAAACAAACACCCGCCCTCTGGCCTGAAGGTGTAACTCAGTTTGTAGGGAGTGCTTTCCGGACAAATGCATGGCCCTGTCTGGATCCTCAGCATTCAGGGAAGAAACAAAAACAAATAATAACAAACCAGCCCTTCCATCCCCAGCCCCAGCCCTTCAGATATGTGTGACCTGAAAAACTTCTCCCAATCCCTGCTTCCAACAGGGCAGCTCCTACAGGCCCACTCACCATCCGCAGTTCCTCGGCCTCGAGGGACCAGGCGGCCCAGAGAGTACACAGCCAGGGCAATGAGCAGTGTCAGCACCAAGTCACCCAGCACAATCCCAGCCAGTATGCCTGGGCTCACGGGAGAGCAGTTGCATTCTGGGAAAATGTCACAGAGGATGAGGAGGGTGACAGAGGGTGACAGTCAGGGACTGGCTGTTAGCAGAGAGAGGGTTAGAAGGAAAAAGGGTGACATGGGGAGGTCTTTGAGAGGAATGGGGAAAGATTGGGGGTGTCATGGCTTACCGCTCTGGGCCTGGACGGGACTTAATCCTAAAGAGGAAAAATTAGGTAAACTGAGAGAGATGGAGACAGGAGAATCAGAAGGTTGGGGTTAGCCTCAACTACATAGCAAGGTTGAAGCTAGCCTGGGCTATCTGAGATTCCGTATTCAAAAGGAAGATGTAAACTGAGGCCCGCTAGACAGTGGGTGTAGAAGCTAAAGAATTCGGTAGAGGGCAGGTTTCATGACACCCAGGGGGCTGGTGCGGGGGCTAGTGTGTGATGCCTGTGTCAATTTGTCTGGTTTCGATGTCCCCTCCTCCTTGTTCTACCAGGGTCCAAATCTGGGGGCCTCCAGCTCAGGGTGGGACCCACAGGCCCTAGAGGAAGCCTCTTCTGCTCAGCCCTCCCCTTTGGCGGCGCTGTAGTTCCTGGCCTGTCCCTCCCCGCTCTCTGCCCAGCCCTGGCCCCGACCTGAGCTGAAGATGCAGGTGACAGCTGCAGAAGCCCCCCGACTCACCTCCCACAGTCAGAAGGACAGGAAGGAACAGAAGGGGACAGGAGGGCTCCAGGGCGCCCATGGTGGCCAGACGTGCACTGGACACCACAGTCCAGCGGCTGGTGGGGTGCAGTGTGAAGTCCGACCAAGTGAAGGAGGAAGTCTGAGGTGGGTGGTGGCAGCAGGAGGAGGGGACAACAGCAGGGGGGAGGGGCACACAGACATGACACCAGAGAGAAAGTAGCAAGGGTCTGTGCCACAGTCTTTATGGGCTGGAGAAGTAGCCCTTGACCTTCATGTCCAGACAGAGGACACATATTATAACAGAAGGGACAGTAGGTCGTTTGCTAAGTGACATTCCTAGAGCAGGGTCCGATATTCGGCCATGTAAGCAACTGCTGGTTGATAATCCAATCCTTGCCCTAGTCACAGCCACGGGCAGGAACACTCGTGACAGCCCTTCCAAATGTTGTCACTTCGTCTCGACAGTATTCACCTGAGGCAGACGCCTGCCATCCCTTTGACACAGAGGTAAAGACTGTTGCCCACAGCCACACAGCAAAGAAAGACAGACATGGGGCCCAGGGCCTGAAGATTTCACTGGTAGAGAGGGAAAACTATGAAAGACAGAGAGAAAGCAGAGAGGGTGAGAATTCGCGTCTCAGATGTGCACACCACAGAAACAGAACTTGGGTTTGAGGTGAGGCAGGTGGTGGCTCTGGGGTGACCACTGGGCCCGGCTGGGCTGTGATGCTGAGGGGGGGA